GGGGGCCCGCCGCTTCCCTGGGGGGTCCGCGATGCCAGAGCCGGGCTGCCTCACCCGCCTCCTCCCTTCCCAGATCGTCTTCGTCCTCTCGTCCGCGCTCAACCCGGGGAATCAGGGTAAGGAGGTGGCGGCGGCGGTGGCTCTGTGGAGTGGCAGGATGGAGATCGAGGTGGACGCCCCGTGTCCCTGCAGAGATGGGGGAGCACCTGGTGAAGCACGGCGATGGCGTGAAGGACGTCGCCTTCGAGGTCGAGGACTGCGACTTCATCGTGCAGGTGAGCGGCGCCCCGCGACGGTGAGTTACAGGGGAGAGGAGCCGGCGCCGCGGGCACTGCGCCGCCGCGCACGGCGGGTCCCACTCGCTGGCACCGGGACGGGATTCCTGTCCTCGTGCCCAGAAAGCCAAGGAGCGCGGAGCAGCGGTGCTGAGGGAGCCCTGGGTCGAGGAGGACAAGCACGGCAAGGTGAAGTTCGCCGTGATCCAGACGGTAAGTGGCCAGCGCCAGGAGGAAGAGGCACCTCCGAGCCCCCAGCACCCATGGTGGCACCCAGCGGCTTCTCCCCTCTCCCAGTACGGTGACACGACTCACACCTTGATAGAGAAGCTCAACTACAAGGGGCTCTTCCTCCCCGGCTCCCAGCCGCCCCTCTTCAAGGATCCGCTGCTGCCGAAGCTGTGAGTACTTCCCTGAGGGTCTGGCCTGGCTCCTTACCCATCCCGCCACTCGCCGGCGGTGCCAGCTTGGATTCTGTCATGGGAGGAGGCCGGGTCTGACCTTCCCTGCCGTTTCCCTTGGTCCACTCAGTGGATGTGCCCCTTAGCCTGGCTGGGAACTGACCTCCGTTTCCTCGTGCAGACCCAGCGCCAAGCTGAACTTCATTGACCACGTGGTGGGGAACCAGCCAGATCTGCAGATGGTGCCGGTGGCAGACTGGTAGGACTGGGCAGGGCTGGCGGGAGGTGGGACACAGCAGTGGCACCGTTGAGCTGGTCTCCAGCATCTCAGCTCTTCACGGCTGAGGACCAGTTAAGCCAAGGTCATTAATGCCAGCCAGGGCTAGACCCGTGACATTGCAGGATTTAAACATGCCCTTTGTGGCCCGGAGCAGGTACCAGAAGAACCTGCTGTTCCATCGCTTCTGGTCCGTGGATGACAAGCAGCTGCACACTGAATTCAGCGCCCTGCGCTCCATCGTGGTCACCAACTACGAAGAGACCATAAAGATGCCCATAAACGAGCCGGCTGCTGGCAAGAAGAAATCCCAGATTCAGGTGAGCGCTGGGGGCTGGCGCTGGCAGCTGACGCATCAGGCTGACGTCAGCCAGCGCGGGGCTTTGATGACCCACAAGGACAAGGGGCTCTGCAGAGCCACCGGGAGCAGCGGTTCGGGAGGGCTTGGGAGCTGGCCCAGGCTCGCGGTGCTGCCTGTGGAGCCGCCCCTTCTGTTTGCTCTGCAAAGAGCTGCCAAACCCTGGGGCACAGGGCACAGGGCCAGTCTGCCCCTGCTTTCACAAGTGCAGCATTTTTGCCACTTCGCAGAGTCCCTGAGTTAATTTTTACTTGTAATGTTCTCAAGTCCTTGTCCAGCTGTAGGAGCTGTGATGCCGCTGGCACCAAGAACTTTTGTTATTACAGGAATACGTTGACTACTATGGCGGGGCAGGAGTGCAGCACATTGCACTGAACACCTCCGACATCATCACAGCGGTGAGGGGGACGCGCTGGCGCTGAGCGTTTGCCTTGAGGCTTCCAGATCCCCGCAGCACCGTGGGGCGAGGAGCTTCCGGAGGGAGCAGGGGGTTGGCAGGTCTTCATGGTCACCACGGGCTGTCCCCTGGCACCCCGCAGCCTGCCCGCCCGCTGGAGTCCTGGGTTGGGAGGGCCCAGGAGAGCCCAGACAGGGAAGGGGCACCCAGGGTCTGTCCGGGAGCTCCTCGCGCCCAAGGCCCAGGCCTGCCCCGCGCTCAGGTCTGCCCCGCGTTCCAGATCACCAACCTGAAGCAGCGGGGCACGCAGTTCATGGACGTGCCAGCCAGCTACTACCAGGTGCTGCGGGAGAGGCTGAAAACTGCCAAAATCAAAGTGAAGGAGAACATCGACAAGCTGGCGGTGAGTCCGGTCAAGTCAGGCACGGGAAGGAAGCTCTGAGCTTCGTCCTGGCATCTGCAATGGATCAGTTCTCCCTGGGCCGCATTACGGGATGCGTTTCAGAGGAATGGGAGATGCAGGGGAATCCCTCTGCTGCCCAGTGGTTCTTCCAACTAGCTCACTGCGTCTCTCCAGGAACTGAAAATCCTGGTGGATTTTGACGAGAAAGGCTACTTGCTCCAAATCTTCACTAAGCCCGTTCAGGACAGACCCACGCTCTT